GTACAGTTACCTTTATTTCCATTCAGAATCTCCTACTTACCATTTTTGAGAGAACACTCAAGATGGTTTCCCAAGGCATGGGAACTCAATCGACTCTGTTCTGTCTTACGTTTATGCCCTCCACCATCTCTTTAAAATCCCTTGACCTTCCACTGAAGATTCATTCTCTAAACAAAGTGAATAGACCTTTGTTCTATACACAGTCCAGCTAACGAAACCCAAGGGAATGACATCTTCTACTCCTCAAATAAGGGTGTCCAAGCATGGCACCCCTCATTCAACAATGACATATTAAATGCATTCTGTGTGCCGGGTACACATGAGACGATGTTGACCTTGACAGTCACCATCCTTGCTATCCTCATGGAGCTTACATTCATTCCACAGTTAACTCATTGGATACCTACTATCTACACGCACAGCAATGCAAACAGTAGGGTCTTATAGGGTCAAGAGGAGAAGGGTCTTATAGGGTCAAGAGGAGAATACCTCTGCTGAGCGCTTACAGTGGAGTTAGGTGGCCGAGACTAACAGAGCAGTTGGAGGACAGAGCTGCAGACCCTTGGAATACTATGACTGAATAGCCATTACCTCATTCCCTCAAGAATGATACACCAAAGGTGTGTGACAGCGATGTATGATTCTTCTGAGGGTCACCTCTGAGTTCTACATGCTTCAAGGCTGGAGTCCAGCTAATTGCCCTGCATCCAAATTTTAAGAGCGTCCAAATTTCATGGGAGAAATTATATAGTACTTTTCAACATGGATATTTGCAAAAGTTCTCCTCCCTTGTGGATGTTGAGGATCTACTGACCATGGCAGAACAAAAGATGTGGTACAAGTTGTACCAGCAACAGGAGTTAGAGAAGCAAGAGCTGCCACGGCCAGGGAAGACCTCTTGGACAAGGTGAAGTGTCAGCTAAATTTTCCAGGGTGGAGGGACCCGGACAAGTGGAAGGTCAAGGCATTTTAGCTGCTCCCTCCAAGCTCAGCATCTGTCCTGCCACAAGCCAGCCCATGCTTCCATACCGCCTGCCTGTGCTTCCAAGCCCCAGCCTCACTGGAGGCAGAGTGAGGAACGCAGATCTCCAGGAATGCAACTCCATCCTGACAGCTCTGCTTCCAAAGCACCACCTGGATCCCTACTGCCCACGGATCAGGAGGCAGTCCCCTCCCCAGCCCGGTGCCACCCCCACGAAGGCTTGGGTTTGACACAGAGCAGCCTCAGAAGGACAGCCTGGCCTGTGAAAGAAGGAAGATGGAGCAGAGGGCCTGGAGGTCTGTCAGCAAACTCCTCTCCTCCCCATGCATTTGACTCCCAGTTAAATCCTTGCAGCGCCCAACCCCAGTCATCTCTAATCCAGGGCTGTCTGACAGAAAGATAATGCGAGCCACATTTATCATTACAGATGTAATCTTTAATTTTCTCCTAGCCACATTAAAATGTAAAATGGAAACAGGTAGAATTAATTTCAATGATACATTTTTTCAACTCAGGATATCCAAAATATTATCCTCATGTAATCAATGAATCATGTTTGGATCAACATGTAATCAATATACAACATTTACTCGTGAGACATTTGACTTTCTTTTTTGTACGAAGTCCTCAAAACCTACTGTGCATTTTACACTCACGGCACATCACAATTCAGATTAGCCACACTCAAGGCTCGGGAGCCACGTGTGGGCGGTGGCTACGGTACTGGCCAGCACAGCTCTAACTGAGTTTAACCTATCTCCACGGACCGTCCCATTGGTACCTCAATTTCAATACGTCTGAAGCCAAAGTCAATGTCATCTTCCCTAAACTGGCAGAACTATGTAAAATTCAGCTGAAGAGGCCCCGAAGGAAATAAAAAAGGCCTGGAGTAGCAATAATACAGGGTTATAAAAGCCATGCACTCTGTTCCCAAAAGGGCTTGATTTCAGAGCCTCTTTACTTGTACTTTGCACATCAATCGAATGAACTTAGCGGTCTGGATTCCCATGGCACAGCTAATCAGGAGGGGCCGGGGGCAGCCAGGCAGGAACACTGCCAGTTCTAAGACGTGGTGGCCGACGGCACAAGGGGAGAGAAGAGGCACAGCTGCCAAGCCTCTAAAGGCCGAAGCCCCCCTGCGCCAAGCCCCAGCCCACACCCACCCTCATCGCATCCACATGACAATCAGAGGCTTCAAGACAGAGTACGCGACTTCCCAACTCCCTGTCTCCTAAGCAAGCAAATACGTCCTAGTTTAGAAAAATATCTGCCCAAATCAGCAAAAAACAAAACAAACAAACAAAACCCACAAATATTTGGAGCTTAAACAGCTAAGCTTCAGCTAACTGTCAACACGGAGTAACAGAGTGAGTCTCTGGAGCCTTGGTGATCTGGGTTCAAATCCTGATGTTGCCACTTACAAGCTATGAACCTGAGCCTCAGATTCCTCATCTGTAAAGTGGGTACAACAGTAACACCTATTCTCAAGAGGTTGTTACAAAGACTAAAAGATACATATTAAAAGCGCTTCTTCAAAAGCACTACTATATATATATATAACATGTAATATATTAGTAGCAGGACTTCAGAGAGGAGCACTCAAGAAACAGCAGCTATCATTGTTCTACTAAAATCCGTCTCTGCCCACCCCACATCCTCCCTGGTACAGGTCCTGCTCTACACTGACACATTATGAACATTAGCTTTGGGCTCTCAGCATCAGGTGTCAGGCACTGGCATGGAAATTATCCTTTGGGGGTGGGGACTCTCATTTCTCATCCTTAACAGGTGATATTTCGCATAGGTGCCATGAGACCTGACAGCGGGACCGAAGGGCCGTGAAAAATGACCATCACCTTCGCTGCATCGCCCCCACCCCCACTGCATCCTTCATCCAATCAAGCTATTGATCTGTGGGTGAAGTCTCCTTAGGAAAGGTTCCAGTGGGTGTCTGAGGCGTGATCCTGCAAGAAAATGCCTTCCCCACAGGAGCCCCTAGGAATGATAAGTACGCAGCGTCCCCGCTCTGCTTCCAGCTCTGCAGCTGCATCCCCTCTCACATCAAAGGACGCCAGAGTCAGAAAGGCCTTGTCTGACCCTTCATTCAAAGACGGGAAAGCTGAGGCACAGAGAGGGCAGATGACTGGCGTGGGGCTACTCAGCATGTCTGGAGCAGGGCTCAGGTAGAATGTGGGTTTCCTGCTTCCTGGTCCAGTCACTTGAACCTCTGCCTTCACCCTTTTGCCACGGAACATTTCTTCTACAGTCTCCACTCAGGGCTCCCAGCTTGTAGTGAGGCAGACAAGGGCAAAATGCAGGGAAACTGAGCCCAGAAAGACCAGGACAGCTGGGTGAGAAATTCACATAAGGCTGAGTCCAGCCTGACCTGACCATGATGTGAATGTCTGGCTTTCATTTGCTCCCATCCAACTTCCTTTAATCCACTTCCATCAAAGAGATATTTATTGAGCACCTACTATGTGCTGGCCACTCATCCAGATTCTTTGCATACATCAATAAACAAAACAAAGACCCTGTGCCTCCTGGACCCCATATTCTAGTGGGAGATAGGCAATAAGAAGACTAAGTATATGACATATTGCATGCTACATGATCACAAGCCTATGGAAAAAGATTAGGAGTTAGGGGTTTTAGAGTCACCAGGACAGGCCTCACAGAGAAGACATTAGAGCAAAGACCTGAAACAGGTGAGGGAGCCAGGACTCACCTGGCATGTTCGAGGAGGCCAGAGTGGCTGGAAGGGAGGGAGGTGAGAGGCAGGAGATGACATCAGAAAGGTCAAGGGGAGGGTGTAGATTATGTAGGGCCTTGAGCAGAAGGACATGCACACTCTGGCTGATGTGTTGAAATAAACAGAAGCAGTGAGGACGGGGCAAGGAGACCCAGTGAGGAGTCTCTTGCAATAATCCAGGCAACGGATGATGGAGGCTGGGACCAGGGGGTAGCAGTGAAAGTGGTAAAAAGGAGTCAGTTCCGAACATGAAGGTAGAGCTGGCAGGACTTGCTGACATTTTGGCTATGGCGTAAGAGAGAGAAGTCAAGGACAACACGAAGGTTTTGAGTAGGAGCAACTGAAAAAGTGAAGTGGCAGCAAGTGAATTGGGGAAGGCTATATGCGCTGGGGAGGGAAAACCAGAATTTCAGTTTGCACGTGTTGAATCTCAGTAACCTGTCACACACCTAGGTGGAGATGTCAAATGGGCTCCTGGATATTCCAGTCCGGGCTCCCAGCAGAGGTTTGGCTGGAGGAATCCATCACAGAGATGGAATTTAAGGCATACGGCCGACGAGATCACCAAGTGAATAAGTGTGGACAGAGAAAAGAACAGGGCCAAGGAGGGAGCCCTGGTGGCCCCAAGGTTATGAGAAGGCACCAGCAAAAAGGACTGAGGAGGGAGGAAAGAAAACGAAGGGAGTGTGAGAGCTTCCAGCTCTGCTCCCTCTCTGCTGCCCTCACAGAAGGAAACGGGATAGAGCCCCTGCCCTCAGCACAAGGTTATCTGGCTCTCAGACCAATTCTGCCCAGAGAAGATCCAGGAAGAGGTAGCAATGAGTTGCACCTTGAAGGACAGGGAGGATTTTCATAATCAAAGAAGAGGCTGGGTATTCCAGGTAGAGAGAACAGAATGTGCAGAGGCCCAGAGGCATTTAGATGCAAGCCCTTCGGAAGTACAATAGAGTCCAGTTTGGCTGAGCTTTAGAGTACGGCAGGGGTGGTGGATTACAGGGTAAATCAGAGCTGAGATTTCCTCCTCTAGGTTAAGCTTAACTTTCTTTCTTTTTTTTTTTTTTGAGGAAGATTAGCCCTGAGCTAACATCTGCCGCCAATCCTCCTCTTTTTGCTGAGGAAGACTGGCCCTGAGCTAACATCCGTGCCCATCTTCCTCTACTTCTTATATGTGGGTCGCCTACCACAGCATGGCTTGCCAAGCGGTGCCATGTCCACATCTGGGATCTGAACCGGCAAACCCAGGGGCTGCCAAAGCGGAACGTGCGAACTTAACTGCTGCGCCACCGGGCCGGCCCCCTTAACTTTCTGACTGTCCAGAACTCAGCCTGGATGGAGCTACTGGACCCTGTGCTGCTTCCTGGGTCCTTCCCGCTGCTGCATGAACCATCTCTCTTCCTGTATCACAGAGCCTGAGGGTCATACCCTCCCCACCCTGAGTTACCAACGCCCTCCCGGCAATTTGCTGTGCCTGAGGATGACTTGAGTGCAGAACACCCTTCGAGCCAAGATGCCAGGAGTTAACTGGGGGGTGGGGAAACCACAGGGACAGGAGGAAGAGATTTTTAACAGCTTCTGGTGATAGAAATCATCCCCAGCCAGCCCCCTGGTACCAGTTTACTGTTCTCTATTTTAACTAAATATCTGTCACTCACGCATTCATGCTGCTGCTCCCTGGTCAGCTAGGCAGAAGTTACATCACAAGGGGTACTGGGAGGAGCACTGGACTGGGAGTTGCAAGCTCTGATCTCTACTCCTGGGACTGCCATTAATTGGAGGTGTGACCTTGGGCAAGTCCCTTCCTCTCTCTGAGCCTCAGTTTTCCCATCCATAAAGTGAGGGGACTGCACCAAACAGCCAGATGGTGCCTTCTGCTCTGGCCGACTAGTCCATTAACTCATGGCTCTTGTTATGATGTCCCCTGATAGCCTCATCTCAGTCCCCGAGTCTGTTTCAACCGCAGTTCACTGTACTCCCCGTGGAACTCTCATAACCATATGTTCTAAGAGGAATTATCTTCCAATTTCACCTTCCATTTGCATCTTAATTTAACTTTCATTCCTGGGTGCCTGCTGGAATGTCCAAGCCAAGCTTGATGATTTCTAATTAGGCTGCTGTTAAGCTAGTCCAGTGGTCCCCAGCAGGGCACTTGCTGGGAAGACAGCATGGGACAGTGGGAAGAGCAGGGGCCCCAGGCTCCGCCAGACCTGGACTCCAATCCCAGCTCTGCCACACGTCAGCAAGGTGATCTTGCACACGCCACTTTGCCTCTCTGAGCCTCAGTTTCTTTCTTGGTAAAATGGAAGAAATACCCTCTTTTTTCATAAGGCTGTTGAGAAGTTCAAGGGAAAAAAATAGACATGAGATGCCTAACTAAGTCAATTGGCAAACATTTCCTGTGTACCTACTATGTGTTAGGCACTGGATAAAAAAGCAGGCTCTCAAGCCCAACAGTCTGTTTCAAACCTGTCTTGGCTCCTCGTTAAGTCAGTGACCATAAAACCCCTGCAGATCAGTTTTTCCATCTGTAAAATGGGAACAGCAAGAGCAGCCTTATAACAGTACAGTAAACTCGTAAGGTTGCTGCGAAAAGTGAACTGATACAAGCAAAACACTTAAAGCAGCACATGGTTCATCGTAAGTACGTACCCAACAAATATTAGTACTATTTATTGGTTGCCTATAATGTGAGAGACACTGTTCCAGGCACCTTACAAGCTTTCTTTTATTTAATCATGAGAACTCAATGAAAAAGATATTATCCTCATTTTTCAGATGAAGAAACTGAGGCACAGGGAGGTTAACCCACTCAAGGTCACATAACTAAGTACGCGCTGGTTCTGAGATTCAGTCCCATGGAGTCTGTGAACTACTATGTGACACGATCAGGACATTCAGAGCATGGCACGCAGACATCATCATGTGAAGCGTCTATCACTGCCATCACACTGAAAGAGTAACCAGGTTTATGCTGGAGAAAAATTACAGGATGGCTGAACCCAAGAGTGGCAACTGCTAAGATTTCCCGGGACCAAACCTGCCTCTCAGTTTATGCCGGCTCACTCCATCCCCCCAGAGTCTCAGAGAAGGGAGGGCCTGCCCAAGCCTCATGCAGGGAAACGTGGGAAAACTGGAACCGCTCTCACCATTGTTTGAAAGCGCGTTTTATTAGGAGTGTAGGAAAAAGCTAGCCTGACTCTGTCCAGGCTGTGCCAGGACAGGCAGGAGGCGACCTCCTCCCTCCAAGAATGGCTGGTGGTCACTGGGACCCAGCTCCAGCCTTTTCCACTCCCACAAAGTGATACCCCTGCTCCACCCCCGCTTCTGTGACCCACACTCACTCACCACCCAGGGGTCCACATGCCCAGCAACAACAGGGCCTGGACATAGGGAGGTGGCTGCCAGACTCCCAAGTCCCCAAGTGTCTCCCTTGTCAGATCAGTCCAGCCAAACATCTCCCGTCTCCACCTCACTCCTAAGACAACGACTTTTCTCACTGAAAAGATTTTAAAAAGAAAACACCCCACAACACACACACACACACACACACACACACACACAAGGCAGCAGGATATGGTTCTAAGACAGCCAAAATGGTGGCTTCCTGTTTCTTTAGGGATGTGTGTTTTGGAGTATGGCTTCGGACAAGGGTGTTGGTTGGGGACAGGGCTGCCTTCTGCTAAATTCTAAGAGAAAAAGAGAAAAGAGTGACGATCGCTCCCTGGCAGACAGATGCAGGCAGCTGGGATTGCGGCCCTGCGAACGCGCCTCTTTGAGGGAACTTTCTGCCCTTCCCGCGGCTGCAGTCAGCAGTCCGGAGACCTGGGATCCAGGCACCGACCATCTCTGAGTCTCAGTCACTGAATCTGTTAAATGGCACTCCTCCGGAGGGATCGCGAACATTTAGCGTCACACGCACTCTGGATCTCACGGAATCCCTGCCTGGCAGTCGGGTTCACAGGGCAGAGACGTGAGGGCGGGAGGGGCCGCCTGCACGCGGCTCAGCCTCGCCAGGAGCGTCCCCTCGGCGCTCGGTCCCAGCGGGAGGCACAAAGAGGGCCCCGGGCCAGGGCGCTGAGAGGGAGGCTGCGCTGCGGGGGGCGGGGGCAACCCAGGGCTTTTCAGTCCCAGCCCGAGAGTGAGCTCCAAGTCTCGGGGTCCAGGAGAGAGAAGGAAGCCGGCATCCTCTTAAGGGTGAGCCGCCGGGTGCGGAGGGACCGGCTGGTCCCCGGCGTGGGGAAGGGCTGCGGGCGGACCCTGCGGGCCAGGAGGGGCCTCGGAGGGCCGGGCGGGCCCCCGAGGAGCAGGGCTGAGCACTCAGGGGCACGACCAAGTTGCCTTCGCGAAAGGAGCGTCCTTCTCGGTTGCCGAGGGACCCTCACGCCGGGGGCCGCGGCGGGGCAGGGACAGGGCGGACGTGGCCGGGTGCGGCCTCGCCGAGGCTGGCGGGCGTCCGGACAGGGGCCCCCGGTGGCCCTCAGCCTCCCCGGCGTCGAGGGGCAGCGGCTCGGCCGGCAGAGCGAGTGGGAGGGGCGGGGGCACGGCGGCCGCTCGCTCCAGGCGCCCCGCGGGCTCCAGCCCGGAGCGCCCGGCGGGCCCGTCGCGCGTCGCTCCTACCTGCCCTGTTCATCTTCCAGCGCGCGGAGCCGGGCCGCCCGTCGGTCCGCCGTGCGTCCGTGCGTCCGTCCGTCCGAGCCGAGCCCGCGCGCCGCTCACTCCATGGCCGCCCCGCGGGGCCCGCACCCTGCGCCGCCCCGCCCCCGGCGCGCGCCGGACTCCGCGCGGCGCGCAGGGCCAGTGGGCGCGGGGCGCGAGCCTCGGGGCTGGGCGGGGCGCGGGGGCGAGCGCGGGCGCGGGGCGCGGGGCTCCGGGCGGGGCCGGCGGCGGGGCGGGGCGGCGTCGCGGCGGCTCCGCGCTCGGGGCTCCCGGCTCCGCACCCGGCGCGCTGCGCTCGGCCGCCGCGCCTCCGCCCCTACTGGACGTTTCCTCCGCTCGCGGAGAGGAAGGCTTTTTCCCTTTCTGCTCCGTCAGGATCGAGGGAGCCGAGGGGCGAGGCGTCCCCGCGCACATTTAAAGGGGCCGTGGCCTGGGGACCGGGGGACCGCGCGAGGCTCGAGGGACTAGGATCCGGGCGGGGGCTGGGGGGAAGCCGGCGAGTTGGGCTTCTGGGGACTTCCCGGTTCCTCCGCCCGACGGACCGTCCTTCTCTTTCTTTTCAACCCGAGGCGTCCATTCAGTCCTGCGCCAAGTGCTGTGCTGAGCGCCGAGCAAGACAGCCCCAAATTCTTGTCCTCATGGAGCGTAAATGGGAGAACGTCAGTGGAGACACAAGACAAATAAGCCGCAAATAGCATTTCAGAGAGTGATAAGTGCCTTGAGGGAGATAAACCAGGGTAATGGGGCAGAGCAGTGGCTCTCAAAGTGTGCCGGCCAGCGTCACAATTGTTAGAAACAGCAAATTCTCGGGAGCCTCCCTAGACTTACTGAGTGAGAAATCCCGTGTTTAACAAACCCTTCTGTTGCTTTTGATGAAAGCTAAAGTTTGAGAACCACTTGAGTAGAGAATGGGTGATCAAGGAAGGCCTCCCTGAGGAGGTGACATTGAAAGGGAAGCGTGGTTGATGGGAAGCCTTTCTTTGTTCTCTCGTGGCACGCTGGCCAGCCAGCACCTCCCTGGGACCAGGCCGGTGCTGGGTGACGTGGATGACTCAGACCAAGCTCTCGGTCTGATTGGCCACGCAAACACAGGCAGATGGTTTTGCTTCCCGGACAAGAGCTGGGATGGGGACAGGAGTGCATAGGAGCTTGTGGGGACCCAGAGGTGGCGCCCAAGTGGAGAGAGTTCAAGCAAAAGAAAGGCCTTTCAGACAGAGGGACTAGCTTGGGCAAAGACTTAGAGGTGTGGAAAGGCGGCCCATTGGAGGAGCCTGTGAAGGCTTTGGCTCGTCAGCGACATAGAAGATGGAAGGGTGACAGGTGCTTTGAATGCCACACTGGGGCTTCCTTCCACCAGCCATTGGAAGAGGGGTGCAAGGATCATATCTTTCATATATATCTGGCAGCTAACATTTATGGAGCGCCTACTGTGTGCCTGGCATGCTGCTGAGCTCTGTACTTGTGTGTTGACCCATTTAAGCCCCACCACAACCCTACGAAGCTGGTATCAAAATTCTTCCCATTTTACATTTGAGGAAACTGAGTAAACTAAGTGTTAGAATGAGATTTCCTGGCTCTGTGCTTGCCCTCGCTGCATCTCCAGAACCCGGCTCAAGGTGTGGCTTGGTCATTTAGCAGTCTGGCTGTGAGTCTGCCGTGGGCCAGGCTTTGGGCTTTCTGCAATTCCAGCGTGCTGTGGGAAGAGCGGGGAGGGGGCTGTCTCAATTCATCTTGGCAGTTTAGCCAAGGTATCTACTGTGTGGAAGTTGGGGGAGGAGCATGGGACATCCCTCCCCTTCCCCCCCAACCACCACCACCATCCCTTCCTGTCCATCAAGTGGGGAAGAAAGACCCAGAAATGACCTCCTGCCAGCGTGATGGCTCCAGGGCAGGGGCTGTTTCTGCCCTGCTCACCACTGCAGCCCTCGCATCTGAACATAGAACCCAGCACTTAGTAGGTGTTAAAAAAATATGTCTTGTCCACAAGAATAAAGGCTTAGGACAGAGGTTCAGCCTGTTCTTCGGGACCACTTTGGTTTTCTGGGATTGAAGGTGCCAGAGGCCAGAATTTTTGTGCCTTTGACCAGCTGTGCTGGGACCTTGAGAGGAGCAGAATTCCAGATGGACACGGGGCATCTCACAGCCTTGCCATGTCTCCCCGAACCTGGAGACCTCTGGTCCAGCCTTGGGTCTAGGTGGTCCCCAATAACCAGGTAAACACCTTACTGCTCTAAGCCTGCTTCATGGAGCAGGAACATCAGCATCACTCGAGTGCTTCTTAGAAACGCAGAGCCTCGGGCTCCACCCCAGACCTGCTAAACCAAAATCTGCATTTCAACAAGGTCTCCAGATTTTCTGTATACACATTACAGTTGGAGAAACACTGCCCCAGATAACCCACCCCATTTCTTTTTGGCCAGATGTGCTGCCAAAGTATGCAAAACTAGAGAAAAGACATAGATTCCCCAGTTTCTCACTGGGGTGAGAAGTGAATCCCTTGACCTCTGTCTCTATATTAATACATCATTTTATTATTATTATTTTTTTGCTGAGGAAGATTCACCCTGAACTAACACCCGTGCCAATCTTCATGTTCATCTCTGAGCAGCCACAGAGTTTTTAAGCCTGAAACATTTTGTGGAGAAATTCTTGTGTCTCTGGAATAGAAAATCTACAGCAGAATTTGTTACTTGGGCTCTTGATAAACTTTATGAATCTCTGCATGGAGATGGTGGAGATGGTGATGGAAGTGATGGTGGAGGTGGGAGAGGTGGTGTTGGAGTTGAAGGAGGGGGAGGAGGTAGAGGTGCTGAGGTGACAGAAGTGGTGGAGGCGAAGGAGGTGACAAAAGTAGCTGTGGAAGTCATGGTGAAGATGGAAGACGACGTAGTTGGTGGTGGCGGAGGAGGTGGAGGGAGTGGAATTGACAAATCTGGGGGAGGTGGATTTGGAGAAGGGATGCAGGCGGTAGAGTTGGTGTGGTAAGTGAGGGGATGGAGATGGAGTTGCGTAAGGTGATGGAAGTGGTGGAGCTGGTGGAGCCGAGTGAGGTGATAGGGGTGGTGGAGGTGGTGGTGGTAGGGGTGGTGGAGTTGACCAAGGCGGTGGAGATGATGGAAGTGGTGAAGATGGTGGTAGAGGAGGTGGCGGGGGGTGGGGGGGGTGTCTGCTTGAGTATGGGTACAAATGAGTGAGTGGATAAATCACTTCAATATTTGATGCACAAAGAAAACATGTTTTAAAAATTAAGCTTGTTTCTGGGAATTAGCAATGAAACCCAAATAACCTAGGACCCTAAGGCAGGAGCAGGAGAGGGAGGCTCAGGTAATCCAGTCACTGGCCAAGTTACCCTTCTACCCTTTGCCTAGGGCCTGCACAAAGGAGAAGGGAGGGCCGGAAAAGACCTCAGTCTTTGCTAAGCCCTTTCCACTGCTGTTGAATTTGGGATTTGAGGCTAAGCAAAGTCTGCTTAAAAAGATCATAGCACCAGTGACAGTTGGGAAAAAATACATGTCTGAACTTGTTTAGCTGAACCCACACGTTGGTGTGGAGTGATAGGCTAAACGCTTATTCCTTTGTTTGCTTTTCCTAATAAGAGAAAATGGATGTGAAAGACCATGAGGCTTTACAAACATCCGGGGCTAATACTGGTGGTTGGACTCACTTAGTCCTTATGGAACCGAGCCATCACTACTCACTGAGCTCAGGGGATGGCCATAAATACCCACAGAGGACATGCGTGTGGGGGTAATGAGCATCATCAAGCCTTTTGCACATGTACTGTGCCCAAGAATCCTATAAAGGGATTATTATTTCCCCATTTCACACATGGGAAAACTGAGGCCCCGACGGGGGAAGTGACTTGCCCTTATAGCCAGCCAGGACTCACACCCCATTCACTCTGAGAACATGGTCTGAGTTCTTAACTACCAGGCTACACTATTTTCTCTATAATGGACAAAAAGTCTGCCGAGATTTTCACTTTTTCCAAATCACTCTCACCATCTTAGTTGTTCCTCTCAGCAAACTGAGAGCCACCAGGGTAGGTGTTATGCCCACTTGACAGTTTGGGAAACTGAGGCCTAGAGGGGAACGTAACTGGGCTGGGATCACACAGCAAGTTAGGGGAGCGGCCAGCACTGGAGTCCTCGCCTCCTGACATCCAGGCCCGAGCTGGAATCATGCGGTGCCTGAACCTGTGCCCTTCTCCTCAGACGGCAGCAGTCTCTTGCTTTGCCTTTTGAGGGCAGGAGACCCCCCGTTTTCTGAAGGAGCCTCCCAGTGTGGGGGCAGAGGGTGACACCTTTAAGGCAGATCCCCTCAGGAGTCTGGCCTCCTTGAGCCGGCTTCTTCTCTCTCCCTCCTTCTTTTGCTCCCTTCTTTCTCTCTGTCTGCCTTGGACGCTGTGGAAGGGGCGGTCAAGGGCCCACACTGTGGTTCTGATATGTCCAGGGAACAGCCAGGCGGGAGCCTCAGAGCCTGAGGAACTGGGGGTGAAAGGAACTCGGACAGCCAGCGCATTGCCGGATGAGGAGTCT